GGGGGGGGGTGCGGGGTGGGGGGTCTCTGAGAGGTCCCCACACGCTTCCAATAGACATCGAGTTACCACCCTTTCCAAACTTCACTTCCTGTCCGTGCCTCAGGGGACAATTATGTTAACTTATTTATAAACATTTAAAGAGTTCTTTCCACGCTTGTTTTTCCTCAGGCTCCTGTGAAGGGACTGTTACCTCTCCATTCCGGTGGCCATGTGACAGTGTTGTTGGCTGGCAGGCCCAGATCCTATTAAACAGTGACTGGCACTCTCCTCTAGGGAGAGTGGACCTAGGAAGGAAAGAGACAGGGATAGTTGCTATCTGTCGATAGTGAGAAATCTCCCATTCTTTTCTTCCTCTTCCCTGCACCGTAAAACTACGGTCACCTTAGTAGCAGATTTAAAAAAATTTTTTTTAAAAAAAATCACTCTTGGAACGCATAGGGGGACAGCTGTCATATCCCTTCTTCCATTGTATTTCTTGGCTTGACCCTTCTGTTGCTTGTCTTGTCCCCTGCTCTTTCCCTGTAGTCTAGGCTAAGGTTATTCTCATATTCGACTTGCAAAGGTGTGTTGGCTTCTCTCCTTAACAGTAGAGTGTAAGAAGTGTGATTAATTGATTGACTTACTTAGCTTCTGTCCCAGTAACTAAAGATGAAGGGCCTTTATTGCTTTTTCACGGAGGACATTTGATCCATCTAAGAAGATATTTTAAGGCAAGAGCTTTGGGGTTTATATTAATCAAGGTGCATGGACTAAGCTCCAAGAGGGTAGAGACGTTTTCTTACAGGTTTTTGTATTCCCTGTGCCCGACATAGCAGAAGCTGGTTTTGAATGAATGCAAAGACTGATTTTAGAGAGTATCTGATTAGAAAAAGGGTTTGGATTACCTGTTGAATTTGATCTTGGGAAATTCAAGTTACAGTCTGTCAAACCTGTGTTGAACAAGAGGGGATAAGGTGGCTTGTGAGTGTGAGAGAGAATTTATCCCTAAGAGCCTTTTCCTGGCTGAACCTTTTACTGGAGAGTTAGAGTTCATGTTTCTTTTGGCTTTGTGGATTAGAAGCATTGTTTGTGATCTCTCTGATAAGTGTTTTCCCCCAACTGCTGCAAATGGAACTGCTTTTCTCTTTTCTGTTCCACTGTTTTGTTAAATCTGCATTAACCCAAAATGGGATTTGGCTATTACCAGGGATTATGAGACACCAAATTTTCTTCTTTCGCTGTTGATTTTTCATTAATGAGAATTTTGCTTTTCTCTCAGCAGCTGGGAATCTATTTATTCCTTTAGATCCCTGCTATTGAGTAGCAGGATTTGGGAGAGGTTGGGTTTTGCAGTGTCTCTTGGACAGTTTAAATCTGCTGCCACATCTTATTACAGAGCTAGTCTTTATGAAAGAGTCTTTAGGCAGGAGTACTATTAAACCAGAAATTCCTGTTAAATTAATTAATTAATGAAAAATATGTCTATTGATTTCATAGAGAGGAAGTGAGAAGGGAGAGAGAGAGGTAGAAACATCAATGATGAGAGTGTCATTGATCGGATTGGCTGCCTCCTGCACGTCCCCTACTGGGGATCAAGCTGGCAACCCAGGAATGTGCCCTGACTGGGAATTGAACCTTGATCTGGATCATAGGTTGATGCTCAACCACTGAGCCATGTTGGCCGGGCCCTATTTAACTGAATTTAAATCAGTTCAGAGAAGGAGCTGCTGTTGTTTTTATTTGTTGTAATATTGGGCCGCATTCATGTCTAGAAATTCTGCTGTTTAATTAACACCTTAACCTCTTAATGTTCATTAGTCAAATTAATCTTTTTTTGAACCTGGGGCATTGGAGACCAGCAGGTCATTGTCATTTGAATGGAGATCCTGAAGATTATTAATTACTGAAACAAGCAGCTACCTTGTATAGAAGTATTCATGTTAAATTATTCATCCTGGGGAAACCTACAGAAATGGATAAAAAGAAATCTTTCTAAAATGACATTCCTTGCATTATATTTTGTCAGTTAGGAATGTTGTTCATGTTCTGAAAGAAGCCTGTGTAATGATATTGTAGAACTACTCAATTTCTGTTTGTCTTGGGGTAGAATTGAATTAGAAACTTTTTCTTTGTAGTCAAAACTCAGTCATTGATTTGATGTAGAACTTGGCAAACTGATATTGATTTTAATGATCCTGACCATTTCAGTTAGTGTCAGTTTCTTGCCCTAGCCCATTTGCTCAGTGGTTAGAGCATCGGTCTGCAGACTGGAGGGTCTGGGGTTTGATTCCAGCCAAGGGCATGTACCTCAGTTGCAAGCTCAATCCCTGGCCCCAGTCAGGAGGCAATCAATCGATGTGTCTCTTTCACATTGATGTTTCTCTCTCTCTCCCTTCTACTCTCTCTGAAAAAGCAATTGAAAAAAATACCCTCTAGTGGGGATTTAAAAAAAAAAGTTAATTTCTTGATCTTACCCTTTAATCATGCAGGTTAAGGGCTCTCAATACAAGTAGTCTGACTCCAGCTCTCCTTTTTGGATCTATATTCTTGCCTATCTTTATACAGGTACTTTGTACTAGTACTAACTTGGTTCATTCCTGTCTCTGCACTGTTCTGCATTTGTACCCCTGAAATAGTTTTCTTTCTGTATCTTCTACTTATCAAAAACATATTCTTCCTTTCCCAGCTCATAGTCTACATTGTTTGTTGAAAATTTTTTCAATTCCTCAGTCATCTTTCTTTTTTTACACTCTTTAAACTCTTAAAACATAAATTACTTATATCTGAACAGTGTCACGAATTTGGCAATGGATTGTAAACTGCCTGGTGCCTAGTCTTGTACTGTTATACTCATGGTGACCCAGACAAAGGTGATAAAATAGCACTGGTCAGATAAAATCTGGAATTTTGTCTTCAGTGGGGGTATTTGATTCTAAGAGGCACATTGAAAAACTAGAATTTCTTCAGAGGAGAATAATTAGAATAATGAAGGGTATAGAAGCCATATGAGGAATTGAGAGATTTAGTTTGAGAAGATCTAAGAGGGAAAGGATCATAATAGTAGGTGAAAATCATTTTAAAAAACTGTTGTTCCAGAGGACAGAACTGGGACAAGTTGATCAATGATTGAAAATTGTAGGAAATTAGATATTAGCTTAACATAAGGAAGAACTTTAACAATTAGGGCTGTTCTTAACAAATGGAATGGACTACTTGTGAGGATTTTTTGACATAGGATACTTTAAGCAGAAATTGGATGAGTGGGTAAGTGTGTTCTAAAAAGGTTGTCTGTGTTGAGTGGGAGGCTAGATTTGAAGAATTTTAAGAAACCACCCTTTTATAGAATTTACTTAATCTTTCTGCAAATATTTAGCACAGCTTTCCTCAGAATATTGATGTCTTTTTGCTTCCATAGGTGCCAGTACCACATGAGCAACTCCAGTAAACTAAATAAAGAATTTTCTTTAGCTTTTGTTGTCTTTGCGTTCATGACTAGTTTCTACAAACAAATTATAAGTATTTTGAGAACTGAGTCTTTCCATATTTCTTTGTAGTTGCCACAGGGTTTATAATTGAGCCATGGCTTTCCTTCCTCTAATTTGAACCAGAAGTGATCACACTTGACTTGTTAAAAAATCAAAAACAAAAAATAGTTTTGGGGATTTGAAAAGCAATATATACTAATATATTATTAATCATAGAAAATTGAGAGAGTGCAGAAAAGTATAAAAAGGAAAATAAAAATTACCATTGTCCTACCACCCCCTTAACACTATTGTTAACTTTTTTGTTCATTATTTTCATTGTTTTGTCTTTGATATAAAGGTATGGGCGTGATAAGTGATTCAAACAGTTTAGGATGTGAAGTGAGAGGAAAAAGTTCTCCTGTCCCCATTCCCTGTTCTCACTCCCTAGAGGTAACTACTGTTTACCGTTTCTTGTGTATCCTAGAAATTTTCATTATATATGCATATATAGATACTACAATTGGATGTATATAATACTCAACTTAAAAAAAACCTTAATG